CTTTATTTCTTGTTATTATTTGTAAACAAAATTGGATTAATATGAAATATATTTTAAGTGATATTTGATTTTTCAAAAATGAAATTAAACGATTTTAACAATTGACTAATTTTGAAAGTAGTGTAAGTCCATTTGCAGCCTGTAAATATACATTATTTTAGCTAAATTAGCCTAAAAATAATGTATATAATCAAATTATATATTGATAAATTAATAGAAACATTGTCAAACTTGATATAATTAATGATTATTTTTAAATTAACCAATATGCAAACCTTTAATTTTCTCAAAACAACAGAAAATGGACTTACACCACTTTCAAAATAAACGGTCCATATATTATTATTATTATTATTGTGTTTTATTATTAGTTTGTTATAATATTTTTATTAATTTTATAAAAAAAAAAAAAAACGCGCGTTTAATTATTACATAATTGTATACTTAATAAATTTACATTTTTTAATATCATTAAATGCATTTGCAAATAACATTGTTTTATAATTAATGTTAAAAGAAGAAAAAAAAAGCAATAATAATATATTTTATTTGTCTTTTAAAAAAAAAAAGTGAACATTTTAAAATGCTCTAATTTCTTTGCAAATATTATTATTTTTAGTTTTTGTCTAATAAAATAGAATATTAATAGAATCCGTTGCAGAGAGTACGACAATATATATTTTTTTCTCTTTTAATAAATAGCTCTAATCCTGTGATTTAACAAAACTTACACGTATGTATGTGTAAATGTTACAAAAGAAGTAAATTTATTAAAAAATACAATTTTTTGTTTTTAGTTTTATCAGCTGTACGTATTAAATGTTACACTGGATTCAGCTATAAAAGTGTTGCAAAATATATTTTATTATCTATGTTGTTTGGTTTTATACAGTACCAGTTATTTCGAATACGATACCGTTCGTATAATTTATCACAAATAATATTTCTTTCTTCCAATTGAATAAACATATTTAACCAATTAATAAAAAAAAATTTATCATTTTTTCATTAGATGAGCTTAATAGCAACTCACATTAGGCTCGATTACTTAGAATTGTTTAACAAGGAAGAGATAACATTATTAGAAAAGTATACGAAACAAAACAAGATATATATTTGTTCTTTTCTAGGTAAGTATACAAAGAATCGTAAAAAATTATTATACAAAATGTTCCGAGATTTACCAGCCGATATGTGTAATATGTTCTAACAATTTGACCAATAAACCTCAGGACGTTTTGTATATATACGACAATATAATTAAAAAATAGTTTAATTTTTTATAATTTTTTTCTTTTTTTTTTTCAGGTTTCTTTGTCTTTTATTTTCTTTTAATGGCATTCCCAAGCATATTAAATATTTTCGCATACATCTTTGGAATGTCAGACTCGGTTAATATAAATTTACCATTTTTTATAAATAATTTTTTAAATCCAGGCCTTCTTTATTACTGTTTGATCATATTTCAAACTACAGCAATCTGTATCTTATGTATTGTGTCCAATATTGGATTCTCGTTATACTTGTTATTATTACAGCACGCGTGTTTTCAATTAGACATTCTAAAGTACGTTTTTTATTTTAATGTGTACACCGGATAACAATTATTTACACATCTCGTTTTTATTGCAATTCCATTGGAATAGAATTAATTGGATAAAAAAAACGAGGTGTACAAATAATTTGTTTATCCATTGTAAATGATGATTATATTTTCTTGTTTAAATTATTTGAATATATATGTAACAGAAGCATCATTTTTGATCATACTCTCTATAGGCTGAAAATATGTCGACCATTTGTGAATCTTAAAAATGATAATCGATATAATCAAAGTTTTAAAAAATCTCGGGATGAAATCAATTGGATTGTGAATATAACTAATAGTTATATTAGAGCAATACAGTTAGTCAGAAATAATAATTTAACAATAACGTATTAACAAATAACTAAGCCTAATTTATATAGCTATATTTTATGATGAATTCTTTTTTTTTTTTTTCTTTTCTTTTAAGATTCATTGAACTCCTAAACAATTTTGGAAGGATTGTTTATTTAATTAATTTATTCTTTGCTTTGGTCGTCCTTATATTGGATTTTATCAATGTAAGTATAACAATTAATAATATATTTATAAGAAGAAAATATGACAATTTCAAAGATCTTTTTTTTGTGTGTGTCTCCATTAACAAAAAAAATCTATAGTCTTATTCATATTTCATTTCAGTGCATATTTTTTTGAGTGTCGTTTAAAAACAATTTAACAAGATTCCCTATTAAAAGAGAATGTGTATAAATGTCAAATTAATTATTTACTTTTTCTTCAGATTTTTCAGATAACCATAGTTATGCAAAATATAAGAAACATAATCGAATGCTTAGCTAACATTGTTGGTACTATATTTATTGTATATTTTAATTTTTATATTGGACAAAGAATTATAAATTATAGTAATACCGTGTTCGAGGAACTGTAAGATAATGTCAAATAATTTCAAAATAATCATTTAATTTTTCTTTTGTATTTGTTTTTGAGATATATTTTACATAAAATATTTTACATTGGTCATACTAATCGAAATGTTTTGTTTTTACGACAGTTGTCAAGTACCGTTTTATATGTTATCCATAAAAACTCAAAAATTATTATTATTTTTAATAGGAAGAAGTAGAAAGAAATGTGTATTAACAATAGGAATGATTTTTACATTGTCACATGAAATGTTTTCAAGTGTAAGAACGTTTACCTAAATTACTCTTCTTAAAATACATTATATATTGTTTAATCACAGACATTGATACAAATTTTTATTTCAGTTAATCCAAAAAGCATTTTCTTTTGCAACTGTGTTTTATACCATTCGTTAACATAAACTCATTTGAAAAATAATACAAATATGAGATGATCAATTACTATAAACAATAAAATAATTCGAATCCTAAGTAGAATAATATATATATATTAATAGATAATTCATTCATAGACAGTAATAAATATTAAAGTGTAGTATTAATTATTTCAATTTTAATCATTATTCTTATTTAATTAATGTGTATTACACTTTAAATAATATTATTTACTACTATTCATTGAAAAAAAAACACTTACTGTATATTAAGAACAAACACAATTACGTACACTTCTTAAGTAATTAGATAATTTCTTCTCCAAATCCTCGACTAATGACATATTGCATTATCAATAAAATCGTTTACACATTATTTACATTATTTACACAGTTTTATCTTTATATTAGAATATAGTGAATATTCTAAACGTTATGTTCGATACTGCGGTCGGAATACGACTGAAAAGGATTGTAGTAAAAAAGAATTGTTCTGCGCATATTCTTGAAAATGATTAGAATGAGGGAAATCTCTCCCCTACATTTAATTGCTGAGAACTAACATCTGTTTTCGTACTTATTACTTTACTACTTCGTAGTATCCTAAGTTGATCGATATTACTAGGGGAAATGATATTTTGTAAAATTATAGTCTACAAGTACTATTATTATTGTACTATTATCATGTCACTGTTTTCCATATAATTTTATTGATCGCAATTAAGGACTTTTAAAATGTACACCAAGAAAAATAACCGTGGATTTTTTTATTATGTTTATTACAAAGTATCAGAACACGTAAGGTTCTTTATAATGTCTGTCAGTGGTCTTACTTACTTCGAACAACATTTTCTATTTTCCAATCGAACAGTACAATTTATAATCAGCATAAATCAGCATGATGGTTTAAAAAGACAACGTGTTCTTGTGTGCTTAATGATATTTTGTGCACTGCCTACGATTATATACGAAGTAAAATTATTTATTTTTTAACTCACACACTTTATCTATATTACCATTACTATAATATTATAATAATAATTTGTATTAATTTATTATCTTCTATCTTTCATTACTATTGTTATTACACTTATTATTTTTATATTATCATTATTATTATAATATTATAATCTTATTTCATCAATACTGATTATTTTTTCCTTATTAAACTTATTAATAGATATTATAATTCTCGTTTTTACGTTTAGCAATAAATCTTAAATTATAAGTGCTTATTTAAGTTTTATAATTAAATAATCTTTTGACTTCACAGTATTATCGGCTTTTTACATCGAATTTTTCCCTGGCATTTTCTGTCAACATATTTCAAGAAACTTTTGCTATTTTTATTGTTGTATATAGCTACTATACCATCTATCATAAATATGAAACAGTTCGTAGGATTATTACTATATCTTGCTCTATTTTTTTACACACTAAAAAAATCTTTCCATTTTTAATAAAAAATGCTGTTTTTTTTTTTTTCTTATTCTTTAGATACAATCTATCATTGCTCATATTCAATTCGATTATCAGCAATTGTTGAACGAGAACGAATTAGACATTATTAAACGTTATACGAAACAAAGTAAAATATTTTCGTATGTTTTGATAGGTAAGCTCTAAAAAAAAACTCTCGTTAACAATTTTTAAATTTACCGGCCAAACTGCGAAATCATATTCAACAAGTAGGAAATAAGAACAAATATATTTGAAGTTCGGTTAAAAACTTTGCTTTATTACAAAATTAGAAACAAATAAAAAATTGAAATAAGTTAAAATAGATTTCTACTTTCAAGGATATCTAATCTCGATTTTCAAATAAAATTCTGGTAATTGAATATGATATTACAGTTTGATTGGAAAATTCTAAGACACCCTTTATACTACGATATCGCATTTACAAATTGTATTTTTTTGTTACAGTTTTATACATCATATGTGATTTTTTCTTAATAATTCCACCTGTTTTTAATGTTTTTCTTTATATTTTTGATAAATTGGATGAGAAACAATTAAAATTACCATCTAAAGTTACCGATGGTTCTTATTCAGGGATTTTATACTATAGTTTGTTAACATATCAATCAATAGAAATTTTGTGTATAAGTATTACTGCCTTGATATGTTATTCAATGTATTTAGTAATTATACAACATATATGTGGTCAAATAATAGTTTTAAGGTATGTAGTTTTATTAAAGAATGACATTCTTTTATATTACAAAATTATATCACGTATATTAATGTTAGTTTTTTAACGTATTGCTATCAGACTTAAATTACGCCAACCATTTGAAAATATTCAGAAACATGGAAGCAATGTATGGTTTGATGAATTTCATTGGATAGTTGACATAGTAAAGCATTCCATGAGAATCACTCGGTGAGTATGAAAATATTTTTCTTATAATTTCAATAAAAATGAACAAATTAAACCTTACGTATAATATAATACCTATGTGAATATTTGATTTTAATATCATTTAATAATTTTTATTTTGTATGTTTCATTTAAGGTTGGTTGATTTAACCAATAATCTCTCCAAGATAACTTACTTAATCGTAATATTTCTTATGGCGTTTCTCATTATCTTTGATTTTATTTTTGTAAGTATTCATTTAAAATGAAAAAATTAGATGATATGAAAATTATGAAATATATTAGTTTAATTTATTAATTACTATATTAATATATTTCTTATATATCTTCAGATATTTCAAATGTCTAAAACCACAAACCGTAAATTAGAAATAGGCGAAAGATGTTGCTTCATTTTCAATACCATCCTTGTTACATATTTGAATTTTTATGTTGGACAAAAACTTATAAATCATAGTGTTGCAAGTTTTGAAGAATTGTAAGAAGATTTATAAGATATTACGAAATATACTAGTTCATCAATACTTCATGTAACTGAATTAAAATTTCGACCGATGTTGTACACAATAATACAGAGATAATTAAATACATTAATAATTTTCTAACAAATTAATAATTACGTAAAAATGAATTTACAATTTTATTATAGATGTACAATTCCGTCATATATGCTTTCTCTAAAAACTCAAAAAATGTTGTCATTTATAATGGTAAGATTTATGAAACCGTATCAACTTTCAATCGGAGATATTTTCGTATCGTCGCACGAATCATTTGCTAATGTAAGTTATTACAAATGACCGACTTTTAATAAATTATACTTAAACTTGTATTTCTCTATATGAACATCACGAATACACGTTCAAGTATAACTATCACTTTAAACTATAAACGAATATATGCGCCTAGCAATGTCACACTTCCTCTATCAATAAATTTTAATTTTATATTTAATTCAATATACTTTCACACATATTTCAGCTAATGCAAAAGGCATTTTCTCTTGCTACAGTCTACTACAGTTTCTTCTAACTCCAAGTTGAACAATATTAATGAAAATGATTTCTTTCAAGAGGAACAAATTGTATCTCCTCACTTGTATTAAACGTAAAAAAAAACATGTATAAAAAAAAAAGATAGTAAGTAGTAAATTATATGATAGAGTAAACAAATGTTTCTTACGTCATTATAAATTTGATCTTTTTAATTAGTCAAGAAAATGGTTGAAAAAATTCTGATATATTTCATCGCAAAATTTCTTTTATTTACACATATACACTCACACATTTCACTGAACAAATGTAAAAAAAAATATGAATAATATAGCGCGATCAATAAGCTAGACAAGATTTGACATTCTGCTTATACTGTGGTTGAACAACAACTGACAAGAGCTGCATACAACAGACTGGTTCTGCGCATGTTCTTGAAAATGATTAGAATGAGGGAAATCTCCCCTCATTTAATTGCTGAGAACTAACACCTGTTTTTCTACTTACTACTATACTACTGCATAGTATTTTCAGTTGTTTGATATTATGAACGTCTATAGGAGAGATACTTTACTTCTATAAATACTATTATTATTCTGCTATTATCATATCACTATTTTCCCCATATAATTTTTTATCAATCATAACAAAGGATTATTAAAATGCGTAACAAAGAAGAAGAGTGGAATATTTTCTTTACTTCGTTGCAAAATACGAAAGACTCCTCACAATGTATGTCAGAGGTCTGACATACTATGAAAATCATTTTCTTTATTCCAACAAACTTTTTCAATTTATCATGGGTTTAAGACCGTATCAAAATTCTAATTTTCAATTGTTTCAATTATGTACGACAATCGTTTACATTGTTCCAATATTTGTGCACTCGGTAAATATATATAAGTATTTATAATATTTTAATTATTTTTATTATTATCGTATTCTATATGTTATATTCTTTATTTTTGGTCATTACTTTTTAAAAACTTAAGTTCAAACGTTATTGCTTGTACCATTAATTTTTACAGAAATTTTAATTTCGATTTTATTTTAAGAAGTAGAATATTCGTTATAGATAATAACGTATGAAGTAATTAATAATTTTATTCTCTAATAATATCTAATTATTTCTCATCATTTGAAAAATTTGATTTTAGTTATATCCACTTTTTACGTCAGACGTCGAGCTGCAATCAGCTATAAGAGTTCTGCAAAACATTCTTGCTGGATTATCCATTCTATGCATTTACGTTACTAATTGCACTAGTTTAGTACAAGTTGGTATCATTGTTTTTTTTTTTTTATGAAAGAATCTTCGATTTTTTCGTATTAAAAAAAAGTAAAAAACATTTATTCATATATAGGAAACATTTTATTCTAGTTGAAGAACATTTACTTTCATATTAAAAATGATTACGAACGATTATCTGCTGATGATGAATTAAACGTTATTAAGAAGTACACAAGACGAAGTAAAATTTATACGTACTGTATAATCGGTGTGTTCGTGGTATATATGTGTGTGCTTGTTCATGCAAAAATTATAGTAAATAAATTGAAAAAAAAAAAAAAAAAAATTTTTTTCCAATTAAATATATTTTCTTTTATTGTTTTAGCAATCATCCATTTTTATTTTCTTGCCACGATATCACCATCTATCTTTAATATTTGTTTGTATCTATTTGGAAAGATAGACAACGTTTATCTTAAATTACCCATTTCTATTCTCGATGTTTCAATCTCAGGGCCATTATTCTACTGTTTGTTCATTTACCAAACGATAGGATTATACATTTTAATAATTATAGCAAGTACGAGTTTTTCAGCATTTATGGTAGTAATACAACACACTTTTTGTCAATTTACTATTATGAGGTTTGTTTTGAAATAAAAAGAAATTTAAATACAGTAGAATCTAGATTTTTCATGTTTGTTAATAAATATTTGAATTTAAATCGATATGTACCTTAACGTTTTTTTCTTTTTTTTCCAAACAAAGATCCTACCGTATTTATCCGAATAATTACAGCACGATTAAAATATCAAATTATTATTCGACTTATTTTTTTGTATTGTAGAATGAAAATTGTTCAACCATTTCGTAAGAAACAAAAATTTGCACGAAACGTTCGGTTCAATAATAAGTTACAAGAGGAATACAAATGGATGGAAGATATAATAAAACATCATACACGAGTCATTGAGTTAGTCGACAAATAATAATATTTCTTTTTTTTTTTGTTATTTTAATCAATTTTGTTTTTGTTCTTCTCAAGGTATGTTAATCTTTTCAATTCTATTTCGAAGACACCATATCTTATTGAAGTCTCCCTTGGATTGTTTTGTATTGTATTGGATTTTATTAATGTATGTTGATTATATTGCGATAATACTATTTTTTAATTCATTTTAATTTTTTTAAATTCATACTAGTACACTATCTATATAATTATTGTTTTAATGAAACACTATAATTATTATTAATAATTTACTGAGATGTAATAAATGTATTCATACTAAAAGGGAACTGCAATGTAATTTAATAAACTTGATTTTTGTTTTAAACAGAATAAAACTCAGATGTGCAATGAATTATTAAAATATATATTACAGTGCATGTTTTTTTTTTTTTTTTAAGAACCGAACAATAACAAGAAAATTGTTATTTCTGATTTCTTAATAACTCAATTCATTTTCAGATGTTTCAATTGGCATCAACATTGCAAAGTAAAAGTTATTTAATCGAATGTTGCATTTATATCGGTGGATCTGGATTTATGACATACGTGACTTTTCATTTTGGACAGACGCTTATTAATCATAGTACAGAAATATTCGATGAATTGTAAGTTTTAAACAATTTTATTATAAAGTAATGATTTTTTTTATCTGCATTGATTACTTTTGTAAAAAAAAAAAAATTAACATAACTCTAATGTGATTTTAAAATAATAAAAAAAAAAAAAAAAAGAAAAACCGATTATTGTAATGCGTATTCGCGTAGAAAAAATAAAGGATGAATAATCCGTGTAAATAATTCGTTTCTATTTTGGCAGATGTAACGTCCCGTTCTACAATCTTTCCATAAAAACACAAAAATTATTAATTTTTATGATAACAAGATCCATTAAACCATGTCACCTTTCAATTGGGGATTTATTTATATCATCGCACGAAGTGTTTTCTAAAGTAAGAGCCATTTAATCGACTATATGCGGTAAATCGTATTAACGACAAAACCTTTTTTTCTTTTAGATGATGCAAAAAGCATTCTCATTTGCTACGGTATATTATAATGTTCACTAGTTATATAAAAAAAAAGAAAAAATCTTTTTTATAAAATAAGATATACTATTATGTAAGCAAAAAAAAAAACATTTTCTACTTATGTTAACCTTACCATCAAAAGTAGTATACTTACATGTAGTAGTTGTTAATATTGTAGTGTCTATTTGCTAATAAAAAGAAAAAAAAAAAAAAAGAAATTGAACCTATAATAATTGCACGATAAAATTCTCGTTCACAAGTTAACATCATATTACGAACTGTGTTATAAATCCGGGCCACATAAATTTAACATGTTGTTATAGCTAGCTGAAATTTTACGCAAAAGCATTAAGCTTTTCTTTAAAACAAGTGTTCTGTGCGATGGTCAAATAGAAACTAAAAAGGGCTGTAACTAAGGGTTGCATTACTGCGCAAGTCTTTCAATATAAGAGGTAGAAAAATTAATCTCTTATTTTCTTCATCCTTGGGAACAACAATCTGCTTCTCTAATTAATAATTAAAGCATCGCTGTATTACAAAGAGTTAAAAAGAGAAAATATGGGAATATTACCGCAAACTATTATAAGAAAAATGATAATAGACCAATTTGTATGTCAACTTTTCAAACATTATCTTTGTTTTGCAACAATTAATGGAATAGAGATGTGAAATAAGGCAGGAATTTATTTTTCACAATCAGTTTTGATGTTAACTTTGAACGTGAAGTACCCTTAACAATGCTTGTCAAGGGACTGACCTACTTCGAACAACATTTTTATTATTCGAGCAAATTTATACAATTAACCGTGGACTTTCCATCTCGAATTCAAACAAAATTTCATTTTCAATGGATTCTATTTTATACAACTATTGTCTATGTTTGTCCTGGAATTTTGCATCAGGTAGATCAATTTTTTTAGTTATTTATATACGTGAGTATTACGAAACTCTATTTTCTTATTTTAATTATTGTTCTTTTTTTCTGCGGCTGATTATAGTCAAATTAATTTTAACTGAAATAGTTATCTTTGTAATTGGGGTTAATTATATTCCGAAACGAAAATTTATTAACGTATGTCTCAATTTGAATTATCTGATTTTAGTTTTACCAACTTATAAGGTCAGAAGTTACACTGCAGTCAGCTGTAAAAGTTTTGCAAAACATGATTGCTGCATTATGCATACTATGTTTATATATTGGTTACTTTGTCAACTATAAACAAGTATGTATTATTTTTTGTCAATTATATTCAATTTTTTCTATAGACACATTTTTTAATATCTAGGGAAAAAATAATATTTGATTCCAGATACAGTATTTTTTTGTTCACATTAAAATTGATTACGATAAATTGTTTGTCAATGATGAATTACAAATATTGGAAATGTACGAAAGACGAAGTAAAATTTTTGTTTACAGTTTAATTGGTAAGCCCTTAAAAATCTCAATACCAAAAAGCAGATAAGCATAATATAAGACATTTATATTATATGTTTAAATATATATTAAGTTTTTCTTATTATTTCAGCGGTATTCCATTTATATTATATTGTAATGTTATCACCATGTTTCTTTAATATTTGCTTTTACTTCTTTACAAGATTAGAAAACGTTCAATTGAAGTTACCCTTTCCTATTAATAATGTTTCAAGTTCAGAACCAGTATTCTATCTTCTTCTAATCTATCAAACGATAGCGATGTATATATTAATATTTATAGCATGCATGTGTTATTCTACATTTTTGATATTATTGCTACATATTTTGTGTCAATTTAGTTTAATAAGGTTTGTAGTTAAAAAAAAAAAAAAAGACAAATATTAATAAAATATTTATATTTCTAACGTTACTGAATATCTCAATACGATAAATGTTTTTCATTGACATATTAAATCTAGAACGAAAATAGGTCGACCATTTCGAAAAAAAAAGGAATATATTGAAAATACTTTGACCAATTATAAATTTCGCGAGGAATTCAATTGGATAAAAGATATAATAAATAGTCACGCGAGAATAATCGAGTTAGTTCTACGTTTTTCTTATTTTAAGCGAATCAAAAAGAAATTATGCTATATAGCTCTTTTAAATTGATGATTTTTCTTTTTATTTCAGGTTTGTTGATCGTAGCAACGTTTATTCCAAAGATATGTACTTAATTGCGATTTGCTTGACGATGTCTCTTATCGTATTGGATTTTCTTAATGTACGGTTTTTTATTATAATGAAGATAAAAAGGGTTATTATATATTTTTTTTTTGAAATTTCATTTTAAAATTAGAAACGTAAATATTTTTTTATAAATTCTTTGAAAAACTGAACGGTATGATTTGTCAACCAATGTAAGCGATTAAAAATTTATACTCTATTGAATTTACCAATATTTTATTCTACTCGGCACATTTCTATTAATTACGATTTTAAATTTGCAAATACGAATATATATAAATTGATGCAAACCTAATCAAAACTAAAAAGAGATATTTCTTTTAATTTCTGATATATCATTATTTTTGTTTAGATGTTTCAGCTGTTATCTGTATGGCAAAATAAATACGAGCTAATCGAATGTACGAGCTACATTAGTATATCCGTAGTATTAACGTATTTGACTTTTCTCGCTGGACAAGAGCTTATAAATCATAGCAATAAAATTTTTGAGGAATTGTAAGACATGTTAGATACAATTTAAAAAAAAAAAAATACGTAGCAAGTTGTGTTTTCGTTTCCTTTTTCTTTTTAATTTTATTTTAATGACACAAATAAATTAAACGATTTAATATTAATACTTCTAATAAGACAACATAGATGATTAAAAATTTCTACTTTTAATCTACATATTCTTTGTTTGTTAACACGTTTCTTTTAATTACAAATATAAATACTGGTAACTTTTTGTTAACAAAGATTAAAAATCACTTTAATTTATATTCCTCGAATCTGCAAAATCTTTTTACCAGTATTTAAAACTATTTAGAAATATTTTTATTATATATTAAACAGAATGTTCCGTCATTGGTAGCGAACGGGGGGAGAGGGATTGATTTTACACGAAAAACTTAGAAATGTAGAATGGAATTTGTTTAAGTAAAGCTTTGTTTACGAGAAAAATAAGTTTAAAATTTTTAAATAATAAAAAAAAAGGAAAAGAAATATTTTTTGGAATTTCTGATTTCTTAATTTTTGTTTTGATGTCTCAGTTATTGTCTGTATGGGAAAATAAAAGCGAATTAATTGAAAATATCATTTACATTACATATATGACTTTTCACACTGGATAAGAACTCATTAATCATAGTACTAAAATTTCTGAGGAATTATAAGTTTTTTAAAAAATAATAATAAAGAAATACACCAATAAATTTCTGATTTTTAAACAAATTTTGTTTTACAGAAGCTAAATTCTTGAAAAATCTCTTACTTAATTTTAAAATAATTCCTATTAGAAAATAATAAATATTAAAAAAATTAAAGCCGTATTTGTTTGCTTTCAGATGTAACGTTCCGTTCTACACTCTTTCCAAAAAAACTCAAAAGTTATTACTTTTTCTTATCGCAAGAAGCATGACACCATGTTATCTTTCAATCGGGAATTTATTTGTATCATCGCACGAAGTATTTTCAAAAGTAAGAACAATTTAATCATCTATATGCACAATGAATCCTATTAACAGAAAAACTTTCTTTTCTTCTAGCTAATGCAAAAAGCATTCTCTTTTGCTACGGTTTATTATAATGTTCGCTAACACTGAGTTTTATTAAAAATTTTTTACAAAATGGGATGTTCGATTATGTAAAAAAATTTTCTACAGATTTATAGTATTAAAAATAGATTGCTTGAATGTAGTAATTGTCAATATAATAGTGCCTAATTGCCAATAAAATTTTATTCAATTATCATTTTGTTTTATTAATCCTATTTGGACTCTAAAAGCTCACTAGTAGTAATTTCCTAAACTCTTGATTAAGCATTTCCTAATGAAAAAAAATAAGGAAAACTAAGTTTATATAAATTGCACACAAAATTATTATTCACAAGTTAACAACATATAGAGAACTACGTTAGAAATTTGGTCGTATGCATTTAATGTGTTATTATAACAGAACTTTAACACGAAAACATTCAACTTTTTTTTAAACAAGTGTTCTATGCGGTGGTCGATTAGAAACTGATTGAAATTGAAAGATGCAATTCCGCAAGTCTTTCAAAATGAGATTTTAGAAGAAATAGTATCCTTATTCTAATCTTTGCGAACATCAATCTATATCTACACCTAATCACAATTTTTCTATACCGAAAAGTGTTTTCACTAGAATAGAAAAAAAACCTCACTGTTGCTTTACTTATCACATATTGCAACTGTTTTAAGCACGTGTTTCATTCCACGTCCGGAATATAACTGAGGAAGGGTCGCAGTTAACGGATTCTGCTGCGCATGTTCTTCAGAAATAAAAGTGGAAGGGAATATACCACCTCGTTTAATTTTTCCGAACACAACCATCTGTTTCTATAATTGAATAAAAAAAATGACAATTTATCACGAATTATTTGCTAGTAATAATTTAATAGAGGATAAGAGCATTTTTACTCTAACATTATATAGAGACACAAACATAATA